AGGCGACTTTTCGTCAGTAGTGATAACGCGTTGGGCCGTTGCGAGAGCAAACATCTCCTGTCTCCAAGCCTTCTTGTAGAGCCTGTGAAACGTTGACACCTTGAGTTTTGTGATGTAGGCAACGAGCGATCGTCCTTGCACTGCGCCATCCTCGGCGGTTTTGGAAGGAGGGGGATGCTTGCGTTGGCTCTTTGAAGTCGTGGGATCAGGCGGATTGTCCTTAGTTAACTCAATTGACAAAGGAGTGGTCGGATTTGGGCGAGTGTTGACCGTGACGTCCTGAACTTGGGGAACTGCAGATGGGAAGAGCGAGCGGCCTTTCATTGCGCCATCCTCGGCGGTTTCTGAAGGGTTTCGCTTGCTGCTGCGCTTGGGAGTCGTGATGGCAGGATTATCCTTTGTTAGAGCAATCGACGATTGAGTGGTCGAATTTGATCGGGTTTTTGCCTCGAGACCTCCCTGACCTTGGTCAGCTACAGTCATGATCAAATTCGGATCCTTCTCCGGCGGGTTGACAATGTTATCCTTCATGTTAAAGTAAAATTCTTTCCTGTTTCAGCAACAACAACTGTTTTCCTTTACGTAGAAAACGCGTAGGACTGGTACAGTTTTGTTTTGGTGCTGTGCATGGAAAATAATCTTCTACCTTTTAGTTTTTGATTTTTGATTTCTGAGTTTTATAAAAAACAAATCTTGCCAATATGTTAACAAAGATTCATACGGGTAGAGAACATGCTCGTCTGGTGGAATTTATTATGTATGAAGAAGACAAAATTCAGAGAGTGGTACAATCTGCGATCAAAGCTCTGAATGTGCTTTTTGGTCTGCCTCCACACTAAAGCCGATGAATCACAAGTTTTCCTTGTCTCTATTTTGTCCAGTAATTGATCTGTTTTGGCTGACTAGCAGCGCATTTTAACGTCTCTCTCTCTCTGTTGGGCCTTTAGGAGTACCTCCTGGTACCTTGTTGACATCGATCGATATTATGATTGCGATATACTACTGCATGTCACCTTCAAATCATATATGATATGCAGCTGCATATCATCTGCATATGCATATCATATATGATATGCAGTAGTATATTTATATTGAACGATGATATGACGAGTAGATGCGGTGGAGATGACGATGATATTACACGGTGGTAGTAGATGATGAGATGAAAGAGTAATAATAATATCGATACGCGGTAGTAGATGATTGCAATAATATATGTAGCACAATGTGTGTATGGCGCAAGCGAAACAAATATACTCGGTCAAAATTATCTCTGACATGTTATTGTTACAATGTTTCTTGATTCTTGTATCAAGTCAACATTGAGGGGACCATTATTTTGGGAAGTATGTGGTCTGTCCTCCATACGTCTAGTTTTGTAGTCTGAAAGGATCTGGTAGTCACAAGTTTTCCTTGTCTATATTTTGTCCAGTAATTGATCTGTTTTGGCTGACTAGCAGCGCGTTTTAACGATGGCATCTCCAGTCGTGATTTAAATCACTTCAAATCTTGAAAATCTTCCCACAACACAAGAACGCTCACAATGCCAAAGCTAAAACTTTACAAGACAAGCGTCTCTAGCAAAACCGACAAGCATTTATGTGAGTTCTTGTGTTCATCCTACAATAATCTAAGAGTATACAAAAGAGAAAATAATGTTTCATTTGACGAAGACAATGAAAGAGTGTCCACATGACTTTGTTTCTTGAAATCTGTGAAGAACGAAACAAGGAGCCAGTTCAATAGGCATTGCTTTGCATATGGAATAGATCCTCCTGGTGATAAACTTGATACTAATATTGACATTGCTGATGATTCTACAGACACTGAAGAAATGACCCTTGACAAGCCTCTAAAAATCCCTCATGCCAACAAGAACAAGTTTGGCAAAAGCATTTGCTTTAAACTCCCAAACAAAGTCCTCCACTGCACTGTGTATCCTCTGGTCAGGTTTGATGATTCTATGGAGATCACAATTTCAACGGATGGTAAATTCATTGAGAAGAAGCTATTGAAACACATCCCAAAAGATGCATCAGAACTCCTCAATGGAGCAGTCGATCAGAACGATTTGTTGTTTGCATCGGCGGAAGCCAAAATCCGCAGGATGAAAATAGAAATGAATGAATGGGAAAAGGTGGATGCTGATCCATTGCTCCAGTTTGGTGAGGAAATGGACCCTTTCTTTGTCGATTGTCATGGCCGTCATCAAGACAGCTACACCTTGGACACAGTTGAACAGACAGTTTCATTCTGTGTAAGAACCCTTAGTTTTCGATGAAGGCAAACAGACTCCCACCAGTTATCAAGTCTAAGTAGAATTTGCCTCCAAGGTCTAGCACTACACAGTCCACTGCCAGCGTTAGCGGCCAGTACATCACCACCACTTTGAGGATATGCAGATTGAGCTCCCGACTGAAGCTACCACCACTGCCGCAACAGCTGCCCCTGGCTTTGTTCCCCAAATGAGCCCAGAGGAGTGGGCAGCAATGCAGAAGGTCATCAAGATGTTTGGTCAAACTACTCTTTGAGACGATTGATGGCTTTTATTAAAAGATCTAGATATATGTATTCTTGTGGTATTGTGGTGCTTTGTGTCTTGAGTTGTTTACTAGCAGTAGCAACCATTGAATCTTGGCGGATCTTTGCCGACCCTTTGTTGCTATACAAGCTGGTACAACAATATTATTATAAATAAAAGAAGATGGTGGTGATCTCCGACCGTGCAAATGATCTACAGAGTAAAGTGCTTCACTACAAACCGTCATGTAGCGATTTGACACCGGGATTACAACCGTAGAACAACAGGAAAACTTGCACGGCGATGCTGGCTTGCCATAAGTGATGCTTCCTGGTCAATATCCCATCCTTAAGTGAGGGAGAGTTTTATGTTCTTTGTGTAGTGATCGATTCCCATATCACAAGAAGGGTCTCAAAAGCATATAACTCATTGGTAGTTATTGGAATGCATACATTCTCCCATTTTTTACTTAACGACACCAAGTTCGCCAAAACCACCACCAAAGAAACCTTAAACTTTTAACTGTTCCTGGAACACAATGATTTTTATAGCTTCGTCACTGTACTACTATAGTCTTCATACTCGACAACCAGAGATACTAGTATAGTCCTTTTTGGATACTACTGTAGTGCTGTTTTCAATACCAACTATATACTACTGTAGTCTTTTTTGCATACTAATGTAGTGCTTTTTCCATTACCTAATATTAATACTAACCACTATTATGCAGTATTGCATAGTTCTGTTGTTTTCCACGGGTCCTACGGACAGTTAAACCACTCTCGCACTTCTTGGCAAAACATTCTTGGCAGCACCCACCATATTTGAGAAAGTCTCGGCAATAGAAAGCCGTGGTTCCTCCCTCCTTATAATAAGCACCGGTTTCACCCAATAGATCGGTCTTGCAATATAGCTGACAGAATCTCAACTTCTCGATTCTCCCGCCACCGAGCTCAAGAAGCTGCTTCTTATAGGACTTGATATGACCCTTTGGAAGTGCCAGTGCTCCACAGACATCCCACTCTTTGTTGGCTATCGCTATTGATGTAGCAATTACAGATGGCTGTGTAAAATTTGAACTCAGCATAAGCATCACAATACGAGGTGTAAGCAAGCAACCAGAAAATCTACTTACCTCCTTGGTCTTCGCTGTTGGATTTTTTTTGGATTGGGCTTTCTTCTTCTTTGGCTTTGCCTTCTTGTTACTACACTTTGTTGTAGGCACCGTCTCCCCCTTGTCAATGTTTGCATCGTCTGTATCACCAGCATCTAATGCACCCTTATCATTTGGTTCCTCATTCTGACCCTCATCACTACTAGCAGTACTCCTCTCTGTGCTGACAAACATGATTCTCTCAATTGTAGCTAGTACTACTGCTGCTTCGGCTGCTGTAGTGTCTGCTTGCTGAGGTGTGGCCAAATGTTTTGAGCCATCAGTCCCAGCGGTTGACTGATTCATACCAACACAAATTGTTGCTGAAGTACTTGAGGCATCAGCCTCTTGCACTGGTGGCATTGACACTCCTCTTTTGGTCATTAGAATAAGTGCTATCGTTTCCTGTGTGGGAGGTGGGGTAAGTGTTTCCAGAGCCACAGGCACCACGATGTTTTCCAATGATTGTTGCGGGGGTGCTGGTTGCACTGCTGTTGCTCCTGTCCTGCTTTCTGGAGTACACATTTGTTCTGAAAGTAGTATAGCAGCCTGCCGTTGCTGAGTTGCACTGATGGTCATTGGAATAAGTGCTATCGGTTCCTGTGGGGTAGGTGGGGTAGGTGGGGTAAGTGTTACCAGAGCCACAGGCACCACGATGTTTTCCAATGATTGTTGCGGGGGTGCTGGTTGCACTGCTGTTGCTCCTGTCCTGCTTTCTGGAGTACACATTTGTTCTGAAAGTAGTATAGCAGCCTGCCGTTGCTGAGTTGCACTGATGGTCATTGGAATAAGTGCTATCGGTTCCTGTGGGGTAGGTGGGGTAGGTGGGGTAAGTGTTACCAGAGCCACAAGCACCACGATGTCTTCCAATGATTGTTGCGGGTGTGCTGGTTGCACTGCTGCTGCTCCTGTCCTGCTCTCTGGAGTACACATTTGTTCTGAAAGTAGTATAGCAGCCTGCCATTGCTGATTTGCACTGATGAATGCCACTTGGCTCCTTGGTAGATGGAATGGAATGGTATTAGTATTGTTGATATTTGGTCCAATAGCAACGCCATTTTGAACCATCGCACTAACGTTAGATCTCAATAATGGCGTAACCTCAGGTGTAACAATTGTTCTCCTTGACCTTGCAATTGTTCTTGGCGGTGTAAGTCTGGTTAGTAAGTCTGGTTCTGGAACAATGGCTCTCGATGGAACAAGTGTTCCCAACACAAACCCATGCTCAGTCCATTGAGTACATGCCAAGAAATATAACTCTTGCCAAGTTTTGTCCTTCCTATATTCAAGCTTTCTCGGCCCACAAATGAAGCAAGCATAAGCAATCAAAGAGGAAACCATTCATGCATTTGCCCCACACTAAATTACCAATTGTATAAAGGCACCAGCCTTCCCTTCATTGTTCTTGTATAAATAGAAAGTTGTCTTGTCGTTTCGTCTTTTCTTCCGGATATGTCTGGGCACCTGTTGTGTCCGTGTGACAAATGGGTATTCTTGAGCTGAGCTCTTAATCCTTCTCTGATGTTTCTCTTTAGTCTGCAACCAAAGTTCATTATAGCACTGGGCAAATGTCCATTGAACTTGCGCTTTTGCTTTACTGCTGTATGCCGGGAACTTTCTTGTTTCCTGCATTTGGCTCAGTTGAGAACATCTCCTGGCAAAGTGTTCTTGCGTAGTCATCCCTACTGCATTGTGAAAGCTTGAATCCAATACATACACCACAAAGCAGGAAACAAGAGTAGCTAGCTCTTTCACCTCTCTGTTGTCACTACTCATGCACTCCTCTACCAAGTGCTGAAGAGTCTGGACTGGCATCTTGTTGTCATCCTTCAATCGCACTGCCACAATGACACTGCAAACAATACTTCAAAACCAGGATGCAGTGAGCAAGGCACATATTGGCACAATCGTCAAGGAATGGGAAAACCTTACCTAAAAATCATTTCCTCAAATATGATTGTAATCCTCACCAATGGATTTTCCTGCCAGGAAGTGGCTGGGTTCACAATGTACCCTCGACTGTAAACCGGATTCCCATGGTGGTCTTGCAGCATAGTACTAGTAGTAGTACCTGCTATGTGTTGATGGAAAGGGTCAAGGTGAGAGTGAGAATCCAATATCAACCAGGTTTATCTTTTGCAAATAACCTCTGGTACCGGAATCTACACTCCTCACGTGGGTAAAATGGCTACCAATTCGGAACTGGCGCGGTGTCACCGAGTTTCAACCAAAAGACGGCGCGATATATATTTGGGGTCTCGGAGTCAACTTGCCCTCTCTTTTCGCAAGATATTTGTCATTCCCCAACACCCAGAAATAAATTTAGACCGTTGGCATCAAATATTATATGTTCAACGCATATTAACACAACGCATATATTCATCATGTCGTACTAGGCTTATTTGCCACAGACTCCATCCAATGAAATGCCCCCAATGCTACAGTCCCTCCAGCGGAAACATGATCTACAAACAAGTCTTCATGATCCACGCTTGTGTAAACACCCGTTCAGGATTAAAGAGTTCATAGTATGCTTGGCCTGCCAGGAGGAGAAGGAGAAGGATCCAAACTGGCCATATATTCTCACATCCTCCATGATAAAAAAGGTGTTCGCAACCACATGAACAGAGTAATCCATCCCAGCACAAACAATATTGAGGAGCCAATTGACACAGACTTTGACTTTGATTCAATGCCAACAGACACGCACCTTTCCTGGACAAATGACAGCACAGTCACGATCTATGTTGATCATATGAATGGGAACGTATTCCCTGTGACTTTGAACTCTCTTTGGTTGCTCAGAACTATAGCTTCTGTGACACTATTCTGCATTTGATATACAAATGTTGTGAGCAGCGACATTTTGTTTCCAGACAGGAGGTGGAAAGTAGGCTCACAACAGAAATCGCCGAACTGTTTGTTGACATTGCAAAGATGGCAAAGTCGTTGTCCTCTAACAAATTCAAGAATCTTACAAAAATGGCTTCCCGCCTTATACCAAAGCTGTATTTGAAACAACCTGAAAAGGTATTGGTGCCATGCAACGCATTGGACATCCATACAAAAATTCTTTCAACCAGACAACTCTCCTGGCGCTCACTTCTTCCCATCCCCGGAGTGGAGATCTTGGAGGAGGGCCATGCGTATTCACCAATTTGTGGCCTCCTTGGATATGCAGCTATGACATCAACAGCAAGAGACTACAAGTCTGTCTGGCCAAGACACATTGGGTGGCTTCAAAGCCAAAGGTTCATTGAACTGCAACAAAAGGTCCATCGATTGACCCCACCCAACCCAGCACCACAGGTTATTGTTGCATTCTTCATCTGGTCTGATTGATTTGACCCCAATCTCTCAAGCAAGAATAATTGTGGTAGTGCGTGGGCAGCTACCATCACCTTCATGTTTTATGACTGTAACCAGAAAAAAGGTATATATGGTGAGAACGCTAGTTGTGTCCATTGGCAGAGACAAAACCAATCACCAGCCGGTTTGGGAAAAATTGAGAGAAGAGTTGCAATTCCTAAAGGAGACCAAGCTTTGTTATCCTTCCCACTTTCATGCCTACACCGGCAATGTAGACTTCCATCTGTCATGCTTTGGATGCATAATGGACAACCCAGAACGAAGATCTAACTTCTGGTTGAGGGCCATCAACTCCAAACAACATGGTTACTTCTCCCTCAACTGTCAATTTGATCTTTTGCAGATCCCTTTTGAATCTCTTGATTGCCTATCTTGCCAAGAGGCAAGTGAAAGTTATATTTCCAATGGTGACTTTTCACAACCCTTTGAACCCCTGTGTGCCAATTGCTTATCATTCTCTATTAGAAGACTCATAAAAGATGGAGTGTACTCTGTACCAATTCTTGATGAGAAATCTGAGCTTCTGCCATTTCTCCTAGACGAGGATACAAGAACCCGAATGCCTGGATACCATCTGTTGCTGCGTCCAGGTTTCCTTGACTGCAAGCTTCTTCAAGATGGATGGAGCCATGCCTTCCAAGAATGTGTGGAAGGAAATTGGACTGCCAATTGTGCCAAAGATTATCTAGTCCACATCCTTTGATTCCACGAGGGGGCTGTCAAGAAGTTCCTCCTTGATGTGGAGGATAAGAAGAAGCATCAGCACTTTGAGTGGATAAATATCAACGACGACGACGCGCAACTGGATGTGCTGGCAGAGGTGGAGGCCAATATTGCAGCAGATCCATTGTTCTACAGCAAATGCGGCAGTCCAAACCCAATATGGGAATGCTTTGAACTGAAATATGCTTTCAAGACAGTGATGCACAATGTTATGAATGTTGGGAAAGCAACCAAGGAGTTGATATTTCCGTGGGCCGCCGAATCTAAACTGAAGAATCAGTTGGTCGAGCATGTAAATTCTCAATTATCCTCTGTCCAGTGTCTACAAATTGATGATTTCAAGGCTAGAGGGATAAACAGTGAGACCTTTGGTGGGTACGTTGGCAAGAATTATAGAGCCTTTCTTACCTTGTGTGGTTACAACTGGTGGCTGGTCAAATTGACACTGCAACTGAGGCCCAGCGAGATGGAAGTGATCTATTGCCATTTATTGACCTGCCAACAACACCACGAGATAACAGTATATTTCAAGCTCGGCCAAAGTTTGTGGGAAGAGACCCCCTTCAAGGTTCAGAAATCTACCAACTACTACCAAAGATGGCCATTTTTTTGGCGTCTTGATGGATACCGGTCTTACTGGGCCAGAAGCACGGCATAGGGCCGAAGCTTATGCAATGAACCTCCTTGGCGAATATGTTCAGCTCTTGTCAAGAGTAACAGAGACCCCTGCAGCACAACTCCGGCAAAAGGCTTGCTTGCTGGGCATACTTCGTTCCACATTCCACCTTGGCTGCAGCAACCGCAACTGCCATGATGATATCTGTATCCAAGGCGATGTCCCCTGGCTTAAATCCATTTATGAGGGTGACGACCTTGGAGAGGGTATAGTGAAACATCTGCGAAAGCTGGTTCCACATGGACTTTGCGGCTCTACTTGGCAAGTTCCGGTCCTGACAAAGTTTTACAAGGGTGAGGCTATGGAGTTTGTGGAATCACTTGTTAGTCCAGAACCAGTAACCGGCGAGGAGGCAGTCAACCAATTTGTTGGACCTACCAGTATTGAACGAGGAAGACCAAGAGTTTGCAATAGCCATGGACCCCAGATCTGGATGATGGGAAAGCTACTGGAGAAGGTAGGAGTGGAACAACTCATTCTATCAGAAGTTTTCTGGGAATACTAGTAGCATGTTGGTTCGGGGTCATGCTGACGTAATGGTATTGTAGCAGTCGTTATTGCGACGACCTTCTTGCAGATACAACGGGGAATTCGGAATCGGGGATGTGCTCGGCAACAACGCGGTGGCACCATATTGAATGTATAGTACTGTAATGCTTAGAGCAAAGTATTTTTATGGTATTCAAATATGAAATAGATTGGACGTAGCACACTGCGGGGGTATTTGGTGGGTAGGTAAACTGACAACTATTACACTCGGGATCTACCAGTGGACGCTGTCCGCGCCTCGGTCTCTGTCTTCCCTAGCCGTTCTCCAATCCACAAGAGCCGGGTCCTCCTCCACTCTACGGGCCCTCACCAACCAGCCAAACCACCTGCGACGGGCTCATAGCTCTTGATAAGTCCTTCTCCAAATTCCACCTGTCATCGTCTGGTGCCCAATTTGATCTGGCCTCAACCATCCGGGCCTTGCTTCGCCACCTTCCCCTCCAAGTTCATTGGCGCCATGTTAAAGGCCACCTGGACAAGCACCGGCCTTTCTCCCAACTGGACTGGTGGGAGCAGCGCAATGTGGAAGTGGACTCCAAAGCACAATCCTACCGCCGCCTGCTGGAGTCTACAGGCCGCTTGGCTGCCTCCAACCCCCGCTTCTTCCATGAACCTGTGTCTTTATTCATCGACGGTGTTAAGTCTTCCAAACTGGATCAGGCTCACATCATGGAGCTGGTCTCTCTTCCTGCCCTTCGAGCATATTGGTCCT